GATATGAAGGTCGCATCGTTATCTGTCATAATTTCAATGCATTCGGGGTAAATTTGGGATAAGACTTCTTCAACGACTGTTGTCATATTTCGCTTGTTCGGAATTTCTCTCAAGTAGAAATATTTGGAAAAGCGATCGGCAGTGGAGAGAAACAACCTACTACTCAAATGGAAAATGTCCATATGGATCGATTGACCGGGTTTATCAGGGATTGGTGTTGGTTTTAATATTTCTTTTTTTGGATGTCGTTCATATTTTTCCATCAGACAGATCTCGCATCTACCCGCGTATTGTTTACAATCCTTTCTGATTTGTGGCCAGAAATGTTTCTCGGAAATTCCCAAAATATTATTCTTGTAATTTCTATTAGCTCCATTGTGCGTACCCTCGATCATATTCAGCTGCACAATACGATCTTCAACATTTTTCCTGTTTGGTGCAAAAACGAATTTTGTGGTCGGAAATTTACGTATTATGTGATTTTTGATTTCAAAAAATGTTTCTTCGGTCGTATGGATAGCATTTATGTTTCGATCGGAAATTGTATGGGTCAAGTGTGAAAGAAGATTTTCAATTGAGGTGTAAGTTATTCTATGTGTGTGATAATTTTGAAAAATGGTCGAACCGACCGATTCATCCACATCAGCATGGATGATATGTAACTGATTACGGAAATTGTTTACCGGTTTTGGTGTTCTGGGTATTATTTCAACGGGTGAACTTTCAATTGAGTGTGCAGTGGATTGAAGTGAAGACGTATTTATGGCGTTTGTTGTGTTTACAGCCCGCGACAGACTATCGGCGATAATATTTTCACCAGGGTCGCTTTCTTCGTATACAAATACATGGGAAAGATTTGACGTAAGACGCCGAGACGCCTCTACGCGTAGAATGCTCGAAGCTGTCATCGTACACATATTGAACACGAACATTGTTGTTTACACAATCGCACTCACACAAATGAACGCATCGATAGTGCCCGCTCAATTAATATGTACGATGACTGTTTTGAATGTCCCTCGCCTAGAGTGCTGCGTGTCGTTTTTCTTCGTTTATTAAGCGATCTTGTTTTCACTGTCGGGTTTGTATTCGAGCCTCGCTCCAAATTCCTCAATCAAACACTTCCATCGTTTCAGTTTACTGTTGGTTTTTTTTTTCTGAAACTGAGTACTTGAGTGATTGATGATCGGTAAATATTGTCAGATCAGCTATTCCATAGAGAAAATTACGAAGTTTTTGCAAAGCTCACACAATGGCCAACAATTCCTTCTCATTCGTCGCATAGTTTTGCTCGGTTGCACTCAGTGTTCGTGAAATGAACGTAACCGGGTGTCTTTCCTGAGAAAGGACGGCTCCGATAGCAAAATTACTCGCGTCAGTCGTAAGTTCGAAAGGTCTTTCGAAGTTAGGCTGATAGAGTTCTACTTTTTCGCACAATCTCTGCTAAATCGTTTCAATTGAATCGATAGCAGCAGCGTCCAATGTGACAGGAATTTTTGCGCTTTGATTTTTGCCCACTTGCCCACTTTCGCCACGTAAGTGTATGGTCAAGGGTTTTGCTAATTTTGCATAGTCACGTATGAAACGGCGATAGTAGCCGGTCAAGCCAAGAAACGATCTCAGTTCCTTGAGTCTTGTTGGAATGGGATAATTTTGAATCGCTTCGGTTTTTTGTGGGTCGACCGTAATTCTACCGTTCTTGATAATATGTCCGAGGAATTCTATCGTCTTACGGAAAAAATGGGATTTTTCGCCCGAGATTTTCATGTTAGCATCGTGAAGTGCATTTACAATAATATTGATGTGTTCAAAATGCTCTTCTTCTGAATTTGAGTATATCAACACATCATCGATGTATACATACGCAAATTTCCCAATATACGGTCGCAATATGTCATCAATACAACGTTGAAAGATACTCGGAGCATTCTTCAAACCGAATGGCATGCGACGGAATTCATATTTAGTGCCATTTATTGAAAAAGCGGTTTTTCCCTATCTGAATCTTTAATATTTATTTGATGGAAACCCGATTCCAAATCAATCGTAGAGAAAACTTTGGCGTTTCCCAGGTTCTGCAGAGTCAAATTGATATCGGGAATTGGGTAACGATCCGCGATTGTTTGTGAATTCAGTTTAGAAAAATCGATTACCATCCGACGTTTCGGTTTACCGTTTTCGTCGGTGCCTTTCTTTGGCACAGTCCAAACTGGTGAATTGTATGGACTGAAGGATTTCTGGATCACACCGTTTTGTAATACGTAGGTTGCTGCTTAAGTTTCTGGCCTAACCTAGTTCTAGTGTTTTCCGAAGCAAAACTTTGGGTCAGTCAAAAAGTTTGACCTTTTTTAAGCTAAGTTTCCTCAGACGTCAACTGTTGATTCACTACGGATCGTGGTGTTTTATGAGCTTGAATATTTCAATTTGATGAAAAAATTGAATTTTTCCGCAAACATTTTAGTGCAATGATTTTTTCCGATTTTTGAGAGGGACTAACTCAACAAGAGTGCCGTGATAGCCTCAAATTCGCTTTGGGTGATAAAACTCGGTCCATTCCAAGTATTTAGAGGTGATATAACGATTTTAAATGTTGACGAAGCTCACTCAAAAATGAGTCCGCAGGAAAGTCGTAAAATATCAGCTGTAACGCCGGAACACATTGATGCTGTGCGAAACCTAAAGGTGGAATATTCTCATACGACTTATAGTGAGATTGGGGCATCCTTTGGCATTAGTATGACATGCATGAGGTCAATATTACATGTGGTTTTAGTGACGTAAATGCCTTTCACATGTCAAAACCTCCAAATATGTTTTCAACCAAAAAAAAGAGTTTTGGACAAAAATAGGCCTACAAACTCTCAATAATGCAATTTTGATAGGCTGAAAAACCCTCAATCGTCACTAGAGATTACAAAATTATCATTTATGAGTATAGCATGTCATCCCATAAGGTTTTAGTGATAGTATCATGTTTGAAAATAACAGAAAATTTTCCTTATTTCTGAAAAAACAGACGATTTTCGCAAATTGCAATGCTTCGTTCTGGGAAAAAATGATTTACATGACTGTTATTATACTTTGGAATTGTAGTGCCATGAATTCTGAATAAAGCGGACATTTTTGGAATGAAAATATTCAGAAAATGGGCCAAAAACTGGGAACTATCTGTCACTTCATGAATTTTCACCTTTTGACATGCCTTCATTCAATCGAATATTTGCAGGCCCAAAATATAAAATAATGGTTTCGTTAGCCAGAAATTATTAAATTGAGGATAAACGAAGTTTTTTAGGTGGTTAACAACAGAATAATCAATTTTTCCCAGTAGTATATGTTATGTTATTACTGAGCCACTTTTGACGCAACCATAGCCGCAACACTAGCCGCAACACTAGCCGCAACACTAGCCGCCGCCGCCGCAGCGATGCGCAGCGACGGTTATATCACGTTGTATGAATACGTGAATATAGTTTGCCATACCTACATACCTCTGGTATTTTTTTCCATACCTACATACCTCTGGTTTTTTGAATTCCCTCCTGTGTGATAAATTTTGATTGAATAGTCATTAAAAACGGAAAGTTCAAGTTTCGCTATTTGAATAAAAGCACTACCATTTTTTTCACGTGCCGAAGCGCGACTTTTTTATTTAAATTGAATATATTGTGAAGTAAAAAAAATGGAAAGAGAGAAAAAAGGTTGTGAAATTGTTTTTCATAAATTAGTTATATGTAATGATTATTCGTTTTGATTTTTAAATTGTCATCAATGAATGAGGAAATTTTCAAAAAATCTATTTTGCAATGTTTTTAAAGTTTCGAAACGATTGTGTCAAGCATGAAAAAAGTTAAGAAATTAATAATTTTAATTAATATGGTTATAAAATGATTATTTTGCTTTTGGATTTTTAATATTCTTATCAAATGCAATATTACGAAAAATAAAGTTTTTTAATGTTTTTTAAAGCGCCATTGCATATTGGGCATAAGAGCACTGCCGAAGCACACTTTACACACGCGGCGACATGGCCGCATGGTAGAAATGCGCAATCGTATTCACATTCATAGCAAATTCTGCATGTTTTTTTGCTCTCATCGTTTTTATTTTCTAAATTTAGCGTCTTTTCAGCCGCATCATTCGTCGTTGTTGTTACAGCATTTGGTGATGGTTCGCTCACTGAAAGATTGCCCGTCGCTGACCTTAATGCTTCCGAAAGCTGCGAACCATTCGGTAGATCGTCTTCAGTCAATAAAAGACCAAAATCCTTTATTAAAGATTTCGTCATTACTTCGTCGTGGTAGCGTTCTCCTTTCATAAGCCGAAGATATTCACATCTTCCATAATATATTCCGTGTTGCTCCCACGGATCATCCTCGTCCTCCCAAGCATGTATGCCACCACCACAGCTGAAGCAAATAACGCGATCACTTAATTTAATGTAAAAAAATCCAGCTTCAGCCAATTGTTTAGGTTTTTGTTTTAGCTGTTTTGGCCAGTCATAAAAAGTCAAGAAGCGTGATGGTTCACTAGACAGCAGCGGATATGCGGCGTTTCCCCGAATTGAACCGACGTTGTCTTCCATATCTAGTGACGCTTCTCACTTATTCAATGTTCAATATCGTTCAAATGAAATCAATTAAGATATTTTTTTTTTAATTCGCTGATGTCACCAAATTGAAACAGTTTTCAAAGTTTATTTTCACAAAATTCTATGCTCAATATCGTTCAAATGAAACCGTACGTTGGTTCACATTGCTTTAAGGACCATTTTTTTTATAGGCAATGTTTTTTCTTTATTTTTGTCTTTGGCGCTATTTGTCGGTGTAGTACGATTGGTGAGTTATAAACAAAAATGTACACGAAAACGAAAATTTGACAAAATAAATTATTTGGATTCTTAAGTAGACAAAATTGTTGACACTTTTAGATTTGATTGTTTTCTGATTTATGTCAATAGTATTTCCTGAATAAACCACCAGGAATCTTGGATGATCAATATTTTTTTTGTTATCTATGGTCAAAGTCAACCAAGTACCAGTACTCCCAGTCCTGGGAAAAATTCATGCAGTTGAGGGTTAATATAAAAGCATATTATTTCAATGAATCTAATATATAAAGCAAATCTAAACTACCAAAATATATAACCACAAACTGAAAACATGATCTATCTTTTCATTTTAGAATGTGTTAAAATAGTCAAATAAGTTACAAAATTTCATTTATTTCAACAGTTGGGTTCATTCATTTTGATTTTTGTATGAATTAATTCCATAATGCCCCAAAGCGAGAGTATTGTATTTGTTTGGAATGATAAACCTCTTCTTGTCATTCGGGTCCAACACCTTTTTCTCATTTTTTACCGTATAAACACGATGATGATACGATTTTATGATAATTTGTTCCTTTTCCACCACGCAAAGTTCATCGATGCAGCGCTTATAGTCATCAAATGAAATTTTTTTATTGAGTACATTTTTCTTAACACCCTTTCCTTTCTTAACGATTTTATTCCCATTCAATTTGATAGTATATAATTTTGAACGTACACAAACGGACTCTTTAATGATTTCACCATCATATTCGTCCTTCATTACCCCCAGAACTTTTTTATTAAACGGTTGAATGCCATACGGATTATTTTCTGCAAAACCACTTGTGTCAAATCTATCTTTGTGCTCTCGAATAAAATCGTAAATATTTTCACACTGAAAACTGTAGAGAAAACTGTCAGTGTCACTATATTGCAATTTACACTGATTGCAATTAAAATATTGTAGTATGAAATCATAGTGAAATTCATACATTTTATATTTTGAAATGTCTAATATCGCAGCACCCACAGCCACAGGTTTGTTCATATAGATATTCAATCGTTGTAATTCACACGCAGCGAAATTTTCATTAAAGACAACGCTTCGTTTAAAGTTTGGTCTTGCAATAAATGTTTGCATACCAAATCGTCCATCCCATTTATTCACTAATTTTATATCTACACGTTTGCGAATATTTTCCATGGTTTTACCATATACTGCATTGTTAATCAATTTATAAAGATCTTTTTCGAACTTAGACGTGCTTTTTGCACGCTCATTTGTATTCAACATTATATAATCATTCAACCACGGTGATTGTTTAAACTCCAAAATGCGGTGCACTTTTTTTAATTTAAGTCCATGTTTTAGGGCCATTTTTAACATCCTATAGTGAATGATGTAATTTTTCTTATCGTATAGTGTAAGAACAAGTCTTTTCTCCGACGAATCGCCTACCTCCATATGCTCGCAACAAAAAGGATAATCATTATGTAAGTCATGTAAATATTGTGGGTATTCTAAATCAACTTCTAGAATGAAACCAACTGGTGCATCATCTGCCATTTGCATAACTTTGGTTTGGATATCATCAACGCTAGAATATGTGTCCATATTCCATTTAAATTGTGACAATGGAAGCGCCTGACTCATAGCCCATCCATATAAATTATTTACATCCAAATACAATAAGTAATTTGTTGGTTTTTCGGGATCATAATCTGCTCCAATATATTTGTTGTTAGCTTCACAATAGCGATTTGACGCCTGGCTAATTCCCCCCCTAATACCACGTTCAACAAACATTAATTGATCAACATCCTTCAGAAGCTCAATTTCGATTTTAGTGTACTTTAGCATACAATCCCAGGAGTAGCCAGGTAGAGTGTAATAATGCGCAGGATCTAGGCCATACAGTTTAATGCAATTATTTCGAAAATTCTCGAATACATCAGCCAATAAAAGCACATCAGTTTTAAGATAAATGTCAGTATATTCCCTTAACGTATGAATATTAAATGAATTCCAAATGTTTTGCGCATGGTTATACTGTTCATCGCTTATTCCACACTCATTTAAATCATCATAGAATTGTTCTGGAGACGGCAATTTCGTTTCGTTGAACTTATCCCACGAGTCCATATAGGTGTATGGATATACACCTTTCATTGTTAGCAATCCCATTTTTTGTTCAGTCAAGTTTGCCCATTGTTTTCGTGTAATACTTAATTTCTCCGATGGCAAATTTTTTGCGAGTTGCGCCAGAGAACAATTCAAAAACCGATATGAATCAATAAATCTCAATTTCATTCTTTCACGATAACGCTTCTCTTTCTTTTTGCGTCCATCAAAAGCAATAGTGACATCATTAAAATTACTATGCCCGTTCTCCTTCTCGAACACATTATTTATATTGTTATCGTTGTAATCAGGCAACTCTTTTGAAAATGAAATATAGTGTTCGCTGTTTTTGGGAATTAACGACATTTTACTCGGGAAAGCGTTGGCTAGTCTTTCAATTAAGAAATGCGAATCATAGTCTAAATTATGAAAAACAACCGGAACTGACTTTGATATTTGAAATTTCAAATTACACTCTGAATGAGAGGCTCCCCGATATCTACCAGATAAGTGGCAATGATCGCGAACTTTATTCCACATATTCGATTTAAAATAGAATTCTTTTTTGCAAATATGGCATACATCAGCATCTTGAAAATCGTTTTCTTCTTCCTCAGACAAAGACATTGCTTCGATCTCATGGATTTTTGGCCACACAACATTCTCTGCCAAAAATAGCAATCTTTCAATGAATTGATCTACACAGTCAGGCCCCGAAAATCCATCATAATGCGACAAATTCTCATCAAATCGAGCGTGAAAAAAGTATCCAATACTATTCGCAATGTGTTTTTGAATGGTTCCTTTGGGTATTTTATATTCATCCAGTTGATTGGTTGTTTCCGATAATAATAGTGATTCAATATCTGCATAAATTATAAATGGAACTTCAATCATGTTTTTGAAATTAGAAAAACGCAACAAACAGTTTTTATTGTCTGGCATACTAAGTTTAGTTGAATTCATTGCTTCACACATCGTAACATGATTATTCAATTTTTCTGCACTATAAAAATATTGCAAGCAACGATCACAAATATGCTTTTTCTTGCGATTTTTATGCGTTACCTGTTTTTGAATAAGTGCACTCAAATTTTTAATCCAAGTGTAATGTGTACGCACTGATTCCTCGATTAAATCAATCATATTTGCGTGGCCAAGGTCTACATCACCATCGATTTCATTTTCCAATCTCTCAAATAACAACAACAAATGAATATGATGTTCTTTAATGTTTTTTGTTAATCTTACCGGAACAATAATTTTTTCATTTTGTTGAGTAAATGGTGAGTAATCCTCTTGGATGATGTATACGTTAATAGAAATGGTAGGGTTCAACTCTTCAAAAATGCAAATATCCCTCAATTTAACGGGGAACTCAATATTTTCAAAATTCAGTTCGTTTTTAAAACGTTTATATTTAGAAAGCCTGCATACATGGTCAGTTGCTGGATGTAAGGCAGATAGGATTGCCCACCTAAAACACTCATTATCCTTATTTTGAACGTTAACAACAGCTTTTTTCACATCTATTGTTTTTGGGAGCTTTAAAAATGAACTTCCATGGAATCCCATCAATTTATTATAATGGATGTCTAAAGACATTATTTCATGAAGGCTCCAACCAGAACCGTTCTCATGAAATTCATCAAATTTTGCTATTAACACATCACTGATAGTTGTTTTGAACCATTTTCTTAAATTAGTATTTAAATTTATTTCCTTGAGCTTACTTTGAAAATAAAAAGTCGCAATTTGCTTATTTCCAGAATCCTCTTTTGAAGTACGTTCAAATTTCAGTTCTAAAATTGCATATACTTTCAATCGTTTCAGTTCATTTAACACCAACTTCGTTTGATAAATGAAAACCCGCTTTGATTCCACGAAAAATGGCTCCAAATCAATATATTCAATATTCTTATATGAGTATGTGCGGACCCGCTTTTTGAAGGCAACGTCCTTTTCAATAATTTCGATCCCGTTTGGTTCTACCATTTTGACAAAGTATAAGTAATATTTAAGATGATGATGATGATGTGTCTTCAAACAAGAATGAATATAGAATAGAAGAAAAAGTTTTCGCGTTTCACTATTTATAAGAAATACTAAATTCCGTTGGGTAAAACCCCCAATTCCATTCAAATTACACATCGCATTCTTTTAACATGAGTCATATAAATTCTTTTAACATGAGT